CTATCGCATCCTTTGAGCAGTCAGCGCCGAGGTCCCACAGCTGGGACTCGTGTCGGAAAAACTCGCCCCACGAGCTCTACCCGCTGTGTCTCGTCCTCCGCTCGGTGCCACCCGGGTGCCTTTTCTTCTCTCCACGCGGCGCTTCCGGCGTCAGGGTTCACATCCGGCACCGGCTGGATCGGCGCGCGATCGACGCGCCCGGTCCCACGCGGCCGGAAACGCACAGCCGGCTATTGTCGCGCGTCGGCGCCGCAAAAACGACGGGCCGCGCGCGACGGAAGCGTCACGGGGGTGTCGCCGATGGGGGATGTCATGTGGGACGAGCATTGACGCGTCGCAGCCGGCCGGCGACCCGAGGCGTGGGCTTCGAGTGTGCGGGACGTGGGCGATGCGACTAGGGACTTACATGTGACAGTCTCTTTGCATGGTGACCTATAGGTCACTGCGGCACAGACGTGGATAATGGTGGAAGATAAACTTCGGTTTAAGTGGTCTGACTGGCTGTCGGCCCGAAAATTCGGTGCAAAAATGTATCCTTTTCACCGAAAAGGTAATGGCAGCTGACCCATACAGCCGTCCGATATTTCTAGGTGATTCGAACCAGAAGCATGCGATAAAACACAAGCCGCACCCAAGAAATCTCACCATTTCTATCTGATATCTTGACGATGGTAGCGTGAAGCGTTTACAGCTCAGTTGCATGCGTCAGTTACGCCAACGCCTTACACCGATCTTTGGCAGACGGCTGGGCAGCTTCAGTTGGAGATATACGTTTCTACGGCCGAGTGCAAGCCGTCGGAACTGCATGGCTGCAACGCCACACGGCTTACTCGTAATCGCATCGGGCCTTCAGTAGTTGGCGATAAGGCGATGGTTCTTTAGGTTCACTGAAGTCCACATCGGTCGGGAATCCATGGGCGGCGTCAGTGTTTGTCACTCAGGAGAGGGGGTGAAGGGAGATGGTTTTGGTCAGATGCGATAATTCTTGGGAGAGCTACCATTTGGGTATCAGATATGTTCCAACAACGGAAGCACATGGTTTATCTTAACTGATTTCATTCTTATGTTGATTTCAAGCATAACTGCTTGGACCTGCCTGTAGTACAAAGATCGTGTTTTTGTAAATGTTTCTGACAGCTATTTGTATCAAAAGAAAATAAATCCTTTTTAAACCTAAAAACTAAAAATTTACTTGCAATTAGTGGCGTGACAATTCGGATATGTTTTTGACTTGAAAGCTAAAAATGGACTTACAACTTAAATTTAATTACTATCGAATTTACTTTTCATATTCAGTAGGCTGTACACATACAATATTCTCTTATGGCAAGTCTCGAAGAAAATGAATAAGGCATCTCACTTGCTGGTTCTATCGCGGCATGTCACAGTAGGAACTGACTACTGACTGCTGGAACCCCAGCTGCCGCTCATAACCAACTTGGTCAGCTCGCCGCTCTTGATAGCTCGGCATCATCTAGACGTTTGGCGAGCTCTGCCAGCGTCGACTCCTTATTGCCTGTTGGGCCGCCGGAGTGGCCGCTATCGACACGCTCTGCCACAATCTGGACAATATTGCGCTCCCGGGCTGGATTCATGGGCTGAGGCACGCGGCACGCATTTCCAGCCGACCCTGGTCGTCCAGCGACCTCAAATATAGTTTAGGGCCTACATCATAGTGGGATAGCCTAGTGACCCCGAGTTTGGAAAATGTCCGCACTCGAAAAAGACTTGTGTTCCATCTGTTGGCATTGTTTCGTGATATTCGTTTTGTTTACCATCTTGCGCACGTTAGTGAGTATTGACTTACGATATGCTTGGGTGAGAAATAGGCCACATCTTTCGTTCACGGCGCTAGTGTCGTCCCATGGCCTCTCCGCTTGCGCACACACTGGTCCTCCCCTGCACACCCAGCTGCACCTTATCAGCTGTTCCAGTCACGTCTGATTAAACACGAATGTGACGGAGGACGGCCATGGCCGGTCATCTATTTGCCGCGGCAGGGGATCGGTCAGCTGTCCCGGGCCGGGCGCGGCGGCCGGCGGCGCGGCGGCCACAATCAGCTCTCGGCGCCGGCCTCAGAGGACTGGCCTGCCGGAAGGCGGTCGAACCGTGGTATTGGAGCTGCGACCGGTGTTTAACTGTGATATTTGAACTGCCGGCGGCGGTCAGACTATGATGAGACTGGACTCCGGTGGTCAAAGCATGGACTGCAGCTGCTGACGGTGGTCAAGTGGTAATACTGAAGCTGCGAATGGCGGTCAAGCCGCAATAATGGAGCTGTCGGTGCAGCAGTCAAACCAAGGGACTGGAGCTCCCGGCGCCGTTCAAACCATCATGACACTGAAGCTTCTGCCCGCGCCCAAACCATGAGACTGGAAATTGCTGGCGACGTTCAAACGTGTGAATCCAGAAAAGCAACAAAAAAAAAAAAACAAGATTGCTACAACAACTTTTGTCAGATTCAGTGTGGAACAAGGTGTGGAGGTCTTCAGATTTTAATTTATGCGAGGTGATCTGCAAATAAAATAGTGGCAGCCTTTGAAGCAGCATGAACGTTTTTGCCATGCTGTTTCCAAGCGATTATTCAGAAGAGAATCAACATGCAAGTCACCCAGCTTGAAACTAGGCAGACTGTTCGTGATGTCACCTATAAAAGTAGTTAGAGCCAAGTTGTGTTGGTAACAAAAGATTTCCAACCATGTTATCTCACGTTTAATGGTCAGCTTCAGGTTCAAACTATCATTCTAGCGTTCAGTTCAGTTCAATGTATTTCGAATCATTCCATTGCATGGTTTAGTATTTGATTCGATCACACACACAAAAGACATGGTACACCTAGCCCGTCCCCCCCCCCCACACACACACGTATACGTGTGTGTGTGGGGGGGGGGACGGGCTAGGTCGACAGCGTGGAGCGTGTGGCGCGCGCAGACACAGCCGCCCGTGTTGTGAACAAAGTGCGTAATGCCGCGGGAGCGAGCGGGTCCTTCAGCGCTCTGAAAACACGAATGTTGTCGCGATAGGTGACTAAATCCGTGATTTTGGGCCAGCCCAGTGCAGACAACACGGGGGAAATGTGATCACGGTGTTTCGCCCCAGATACGATTGTTTGAAAGTGATTCTACCCTCTCCGCCGGCGGTTTGCCGTCACAGCGGCTGGACTCCTCCAGCTCTGTCCACCTCTGCCCTTCTGTCTTCAATCTGCGGACACATTGGCCGCCGAGAGCGCCGTGTCCACACCACCTGGGACCTCTCTCCACCCCTCCCCTCTACCCTGCAGCCCCTCCTCCCCGCTCTGCCGCGTCTCTCCACCCCTCTGCCGCGTCTCTCTCGTCCGTCGCGCGGTTCATCGATAGCACCACCTCTCACGTCGTCCGTAACGCAAATATTTAGCCGGCACGCACCGCGTGGTGTCCCTTGATCCTTGGCGGCGCGGCCAGTGAGACGGCGTGTCGTTTGCAGCGGCCGGGGCAGACTGCAGTCGGCAGCGACAGTCTACAGGCCACTTAACACGTGTTTGTTGATGGTTGGCGCTGTCCGTGCGGCCCTGGCCGGATATACGAGGCCAGGGTGCGGGCAGACGTGGGTCGGGGCCAGACGGCGTGGGGCGAGAGAGAGAGAGAGAGAGAGAGAGAGAGAGAGAGAGAGAGGGAGAGGGAGAGGGAGAGAGAGAGAGAGAGAGAGAGAGAGAGAGAGAGAGAGAGAGAGAGAGAGAGAGAGAGAGAGAGAGAGAGAGAGAGAGAGAGAGAGAGAGAGAGAGAGAGAGAGAGAGAGAGAGAGAGAGAGAGAAGTTTTGAGAGCTGGTAAACGATAGAGGATAGAGCTCTCCGCAAGTGGCGTGGGATTGAAACGCATAATTACATTAACGTTCCATAATTTCGCATAATTGGATCTAAAATAAAGCACTGCCACAGGGTGCGAGAGGTGGCACTGAATGTGAATAGCATCGATAGGATACGTGTTACGGAATGATGATTAGATGTGGGTGTATTTTCTGGACGAATATAGCAAGTGTGCGTGCTCTGAGTAGTTATAATATTGACGGATGTCTTACTTCGTTGTTATTTTTGACAGATGCTCAGTTACTAGATAAATCACACGCATTACCAATATTTATTCAGGCTCAGTGTTAAATGAAGGTGGAAAACACAAAAGGTGCCTGCTTTTATTAGGTAACTATTTATACGTTTTGTGGGGCATTGTTACGGAGCGAGCGAAGCGAGCGGAGTCTTTCCTTAGATTAACGGAAATTTCTGAGTATGAGCGGCCGGCCGGCCGGCCGTGGTCACGGTTTTGCGACGCTTATATCTCAGCAACCACTTGACCGATTTACACGCGGTACTTTTTGTAGGGTAGCTTCATTCCTTCTACCAAGTATTGGACTATTCCCGATGCATGTAGGTGACCCCTTATGCACGTGCCACGTGCAAAACGAAGAGGTGTCACTTTTGTAATTGTTGCAATATCTTGGTAACTACTTGGCCGATTGCGCTGAAAGTTGGCATGTAGGTAGGCAGCCACTAGGCAATGCATATCCATGTGCCAGAGTTGGGGTGCTGCTGCACGTGCGCACGTGCAGGGGTCGATTCCAGATCTCGAGAACGGCTGGACCGATTGCGCTCAAATTTGGTACACGGTTACGGAGCAGTTAGTAGGGTGCCGTGCACAAGTCAGTTGGGACCCATTTTGCACGTGCGCACGTGCAGGGTGCCGCTTCCAGATCACGAGAACGGCTGGGCCGATTGTGCTCAAATTCGGCACATCGCTAGAGACCGGTTAGTAGGGTGCCGTGCACAAGTCAGTTGGAGGTACCCCCTCGCAATTTCGCACGTGCAAGGCCCACCCTCTCGCTCGCTCCGTTAGTCGCCCCATAAGGCGCTATACTGGTTAATAAGATTATTAAAAGGACGAGAATAGCTTCTCGCTGATATCCATGAAAATTAAAGAAAAAAACAGTTATATATTCGGGCGTGGTCTTTCCTCAGTGGTAGGTACAAATAGGAGCATGTATATTGTATATTTCCACTTTTTCACAAAAAAGGACATGCCACAGGAATGTTGTGTGCACCAGACCGGGTGAATACACGGCGCAGGCCGCCACAGCTACAGCCAGGGGGGGGGGGGGCGGGCTGGGGAAAGGGCGGTCGCCAGTCGATGCTTGCGAGCGTATTACATTTTTTTTTATTTATAGAATTCCAGTAACAGGCACCATTCTGACACACGTAATTTTTTCACTTGGACTAAGGACGAGCAGATGGGTAAGTGCGGGTCCTTTAGTGACATGTAAAAGTCTACGTGCTATAGATAACACAAACATGTCTCAAATCATCATTTCTACCACGTTCACTGGGAACTGAAAGGGCAAAGCATGAATGTTTGTAGAACACAATTATATTTTTACAACGCTAGCCATCATCCTCAGCCGTCATGATGGGTGACTACTCCTCGGCTCAGCTTGCGTTAGCTCCTCTGAACTGAATCCAGTGTCCCTCCCATCCACCTTTGCTCAGCCGGCGCAGAAGCTCTTCTCGATTAGTTTCCTCTGCATCTCTTCTCAGCGCGCCAGGGCGCCTCCGTCCACGGGCAGTGAGGCGCCAGTGATTAGGGCGGCGTGGTCGCTGAGCAGGAACATTGTGGCGCTCACCACGTCTTCTGTGGTGGCGAACCGACCCATCGGAATCCGGGTGAGGATCCAGTCGGCCATGGCCTGGTCTTCCCGCACGGACTTCGTCATGTCCGTCTCCACCACTGTCGGGTTGACGCAGTTGACGCGGATCCCCTTGGGTCCCAGCTCGAGCGTCATGACGCGCGTCAGGTGGTCCAGCGCCGCCTTCGAGGCGCAGTAGAGAGAGCCGCCCTGAACTGTCCTTAGTCCCAGCTCAGAAGACATGTTGATGATGACGCCTCCCTGGCCACGCTCAACCATTCCTCGAGCGATCACCTGTGCAACGTTGAAGGCCCCTTTCACGTTCACGTCAAACATGGTGTCCAGAGCTTCCTTTGTAGCCTCCAGAAAGGGCTCCAGGATAAGAATGCCCGCGTTGTTGACGAGACAGTCCACGGGCTCGATAGCCTCGACCGCTTCGCGCGTCGCCTCCCAGTCACTGAGGTCACAGGTTACCGTCTCCACCGAGGGGCACTCATCTTTCAGGGTGTCCAGGTGTTCTTCGGTCCGGGACAGGGCGATAACGTGACCCCCGCAGGCGACCACACGGATCGCCAAGGCTCGGCCGATCCCTCGGCCGGCGCCGGTGATCAGAACGCGCTTCCCAGACAGCGAGATCTCCATTGCTTAGGCTGACTGTTGCTGTGAGTGCAGAGCTGTTTAATGCAGTGTTTTGATAGCTCAATAGTTCTGAGAAGAAAAATAAAAGAGACTCAGATATCAATCGTAAATCCCACCTGAACACAAGCTCTTTATGTTTCTAAGAAGCTGCTATGCTGATACAAGCTCTCCGTTTTGCGTTCCGAAGCATACTTGAAAGACGCTCCTTTGAAATAAGATAACCGAAGGTTTGTTGTCAATAGTTAAAACACTATTCTTTAGTATACTGACAACACGCTACACGGCAAGTGAAATAATACTGAATGAAACGAAATAATGAAGTGATGTTCCTTGTTCGATGCGTTGTCAAAAACCCAATGCTCTTATCATCAGACAAAATAAAGAAGAACAGGGACAGCTATGTTCCGGCTTGTGCCTGTATCAGGAAATCTGCTGGGTTACGGCCTCGAACAATGAACAGTCGATGCCGGAACTTACATGATGGTTCAGTAGCGAAAGACGATCGCAGGTGCTGTGCGCTAAGGTCGGCCGTCTGATGGTCAATGTCGGTGTCCTGGACACAGGTATGCGCTTTTATACCCAGGAGGTCGATCGCTTCACCGCCCATTCGGTATCCACGCCCGTGCATCGCAGTACTGTATCGAACAAGCGTAACATGGCATGCAATTACAGTTTGATACCGAACTCTGATTGATCTCCTAATCATATTCCTGGCTAGTGATAACTAAACGTAATATGTAATTTAAACCTTTTTCAGTATAAAATTGCGATAGCTTTATTGAAATGTGTTGCCTTGAGTGTCCAATCCCTTGTTCCCCACAACGCAGACGGCAAGGGTGGGGGAAGAGGACGGTAACCAGGCCCAGGCGCCTGGGCGATGCCCAGACGATAGATTAGGTAGTCTGCCTTTATTGTATGACAAGCTATATGAAAAAGCATCACTTGAATCCAAATGAACTTGGTTGACGCCAATGTCACAAAAATCCAGTCACTTATTTATTCTTACTTAGGCTCAACAGCAAAAAAAGAAACGATGAACAGCATAGGCGGTGGAACGAGGGGGGGGGGGCACCGGGGCACCGTGCATCCCTTTGATTTTGGCATTTTAACATTAGCCCTATGGCGTTGCATGGAAAGAATGGGACCAAAAGTCGCCAGTGCCCCCCCCCCCCCCTTAATTGAAGGTGTTCCGCCGTCACTGATGAACAGAGTGATTTACTTCAATATTTACACAATCCTAGCTATTAACCCTCGCATGTGTGCGGCGTTTGCCAGCTTCTAATGTGTAGGGGGGGGGGTCGGTTGGACCCCCCTTGCCGCTTGGCCCCTGATCGAGCTAGAGCTTCGCGGAAAAAAACGAGCGTGTTGCGCGTGACGAGAGGAAGCCGATGATATCCAATTTTAAGGTCCTAGGTCATTGGTTGACCTTCCAGGTCAGGTCAATGACCCAAAGTCGGGAAAATCGGGACCTGTTAGAAAGTCGTAAAGTGTGGCTGTTAAGGGGTTTTCGGGGTGCTGATCACGAATGTCGTGTTAATTTTGATCACAGATGATGTCTTTAAGTATTTAGACTAGGTCGGGTCAGGTCACGTCAGGTCAACCAGTAAGCGTCGTGATGGGTATTCGTAGTACGTGTCAACCGCCTCTGACAGCTTCGTAACATGTTACGAAGTCACCAAAACTGCTTCGTAAATGTTCAAATGGTTGCTAAATTCGAATTCAGCTAAAAAACTAGCCTAGAAACAGGTAAAACTCGAAAAGTGAACCGAGGTCACTGACCGAGGTCAAAGGTCAGTGACCTGACCTGACCTTCAGGTGACCTTGATATCCACCCTTATGCATGGGAGCAACATCAAATCACATGTTTGAACGTTTGAAACCACGAAAAGCTTGCAAACGCGCGGCTAATGCGAGCCGACATACGCGGAATCGCGATTCCGGCCAAACATGGTCTCGGAAAAGAGGTCACAGGTCAAAGATCGTTTGGGTCAGGGTCATGAAATTTTCAGGGTAGGTGTAAAATTGATCAATGCGAGGGTACTGAAAGTTTCATCGTGATCAGTCGCTTTTTACGCGAGTTATTTGCGAAAAACCATGGGCCCCCTACACATGCGAGGGTTAAAGAAGACAAATTCCGTTGACATAACATGGTCGTGACTTTTCTCTGTCATCAGATCAATTATGAGAACACAGAATATGTGTGCTTAAAGGACGAACATAACCTTTTCCCACAAAATCTGATTTAATATAATTAGATAAATAAAAAAATAAAAAAAGTTGACCTTTTCCTCGACATCAAAAATGTAAAAAGCCGAATAATATATTTTAAAAAACGGTGAGCTTTCGGCCACTGGCCTTTATCAAACCAACGTGATAACAATGTTAAAAGACGATCCTGTGAATAATCTGTCTGCCATTTTTCAAAAACCGAAGATCGTGATATTTTAGGAAAGGCGCTACTCATAAGGGCAAACTATTTGATAGACCGATTGTCTACATAGTGTCCGATGTACGTAACATACATAATATACAATTGTACACGTAGCTGTCAAACACACATCGTATGGAAGGTATGTACACTAACGCCGATGTACATCACACACATAACAAAATAATATACACATACACATATTAATCGATTGAGTTGAAAAGGCTACACGCTCACAAGATACACATGATACAGGCGCTTACATGATTGGCCACGACGAAAGATTTGAGTTTATGTGCGGGCGGTTTGCTTTTATAAGTAGGGATTCTGCGATTTTTCTGTCCGGGTGGTCTTTGGAGCGATAAAGGACGCGAACCTGAAGAGGAAGGGATGATTTGTTTAGCGGCGCGCCGGGGTGGTGCTCACGGAAGTGGTCTCCCATCGGGGTCCCTTCGGATGCGCTCAAGGCGTCTCGTAAATGTTCGTTAAATCTTAGTCGAACAGGTCGTTTTGTCTCGCCAATATATGTGCCGTCGTCACCCTTTCCTTCACACAACTTACAATTTAGCCTGTAGACGACGTCTACAGGAAAGTTTTGAAAGCAGCTATTGAACTTTGTGGAAACGCACTTGTGGGACACTAGTGATTTCCTAAAGCGGTTAGCAGCTCACTCAGAGGGACAGGGGCTCGCCGAGGGATCTATATTCTTCAGCATAGATGTTGTGAATTTGTATGGAAGCATCCCCATCCCTGAGGCTATCGATGCGGTGATGGAGAAGTTAGAGGCTCACCAGGATGAGGTGGATACCTTCGGTCTCTCCCAGGATGATATTAAACATCTCCTTCAGCATTGTCTCACCAAGAACGTATTTAGGTTTGATGATAAATTTTACCGACAAACACTAGGGATCGCTATGGGCAATCCATGTGCCCCTCCCATAGCCATTCTCTTTCTGGATCGTTTTGAGCGCAAAGCGTTAGAAAACCTGGATCAGAAACCGTCCTTTTTGGTTCGGTACATTGACGATTACGCAGGCGTGTGGACCTATGGAGAGCAGGCTTTAGTAGATTTTCTGTCGCATTTAAACTCGCTTCATCCGACACTCCGCTTTACCATGGAGCATTCCGGTACAAAGTCGGGTGTGGCCTTCCTAGATACCTTAGTGACAGTAGTGACCCAGGGCCAGGTTACGAAGATTGAAACGGAACTTTACATAAAACCTACGAACTCAGGGATCATCCTGCACTATAAATCAGCCCACCCGAAGTCTACTAAACAAAACATAGTCCGTAGTCAGTTTCGGCGAGCGATCAGGAACTCTTCGAGCAGTGCTAAAGAGAGGGCGAGTATAGACAAGATTTGGACATTGTTGGTTCAAAATGGGTACCCAGAGAAAGTTCTTAGAAGGCTCTTGTGGGAGGTCAAACAGCAAGGGTCCAGATCCAGGATGGGTAAAGTTAGTCGAGACAAGGGCGAAGATGGCTTCTTATGTTTACCGTACATAGATGAAGAACTGCTATGCAAAATTCAAAGTAAAGTTAGGAAATCTGGCTTAGCTGTCAGGATAGCATGGAGGAACCCCCAAAAGCTACGAAACAAACTGGTTAGATCATCACTATCTAAACCTATCTGCCCTGGAGGCCCACGATGCAACATGTGTAAATCAGATTTTTCAGGTGATTGTACACAGAAGAACGTCGTCTACAGGCTAAATTGTAAGTTGTGTGAAGGAAAGGGTGACGACGGCACATATATTGGCGAGACAAAACGACCTGTTCGACTAAGATTTAACGAACATTTACGAGACGCCTTGAGCGCATCCGAAGGGACCCCGATGGGAGACCACTTCCGTGAGCACCACCCCGGCGCGCCGCTAAACAAATCATCCCTTCCTCTTCAGGTTCGCGTCCTTTATCGCTCCAAAGACCACCCGGACAGAAAAATCGCAGAATCCCTACTTATAAAAGCAAACCGCCCGCACATAAACTCAAATCTTTCGTCGTGGCCAATCATGTAAGCGCCTGTATCATGTGTATCTTGTGAGCGTGTAGCCTTTTCAACTCAATCGATTAATATGTGTATGTGTATATTATTTTGTTATGTGTGTGATGTACATCGGCGTTAGTGTACATACCTTCCATACGATGTGTGTTTGACAGCTACGTGTACAATTGTATATTATGTATGTTACGTACATCGGACACTATGTAGACAATCGGTCTATCAAATAGGTTGCCCTTATGAGTAGCGCCTTTCCTAAAATATCACGATCTTCGGTTTTTGAAAAATGGCAGACAGATTATTCACAGGATCGTCTTTTAACATTGTTATCACGTTGGTTTGATAAAGGCCAGTGGCCGAAAGCTCACCGTTTTTTAAAATATATTATTCGGCTTTTTACATTTTTGATGTCGAGGAAAAGGTCAACTTTTTTTATTTATCTAATTATATTCAATATGTTCCTCGCTCGAGCACTTAGTAATATTACCAAAAATCTGATTTAGGATCATTTTTGGAAAGAAAACAAGAAATTAAAATGTAAATTAAAACAATTTTACTCACATCGCTTACTTACTTACCTAATACTCAATATCTTGCGTTGGCTATGGGTCTTGTGAGCTTTTGACACCTTGATTTCGGCCTTTTTTACCAGTCATACCTCCCACCTATCATGGAACATGCTGTTCGACGATGTACAGATGTCATTTGTCAAGGTCAGGGTTAAGGTCAACCTAGGTCATCTAAAATCATTGCGTTTTAGGCTAGCTGAATTCACTTTTTGTGAGGTTTCTTTGACTGTATTTTGGTAAAACCTTCTCATTCCATGATCTCATGTAATGTGGACACATAAGCAATCGGTGCACACATCAGTATGCACACAGACACACACAGACATATAAACACAGGTCCTTGACCTTGACCTAACTTGACCTGAAATGACCTCAGCAGTAAAAACCTTGTCGGATAGTGTGACAAAGAGGTTCTAGCTGGCTTGGCACCACAAAACGGCATCATCATCGGTATATGATGAGCAGCGCACTTGATATCCAACGGTGACCCAAAACAGCAACATTTTTTTTAGTTTGACCTGACCTGGAAGGTCAATGACTGACCTGAGAAGGTAAAACTGGGTATCATTGGATTCGTCTCTTCCCAAAGAATCTTTTTGGTCTTACCGCGAAGCTCTATCTCCAACAGGAATGAAATGGCGCGTGGGGGGTCCCCCCATGTGCGTGATGGCCTCCATGGATGGGAAAATGGCATGTGCGGGCGAGGGTTAACCGAAATAAGAAAGGCCATATTCTCCCTTTAAAACTCAGCCAACACCTTTTTTTAATTGGTGCAAGCGTTGGCTTGACGGATAAATTAAAACCATTCAAATTTGACCTCGACTGTGAACTGTGGATTGTGTCATGATTATCATTCAGCTGCCCTGACGTCTGCTGGGC